CGTGGCTTGTTTGGGGAACCCCTCCTCTACTCTCACCATCTGGGTGCTTTGCTGTGCCCCAGTGCCCAGCACTGAATCTGGTCTATAGTAGATACTCCCATGGAGGGTTGTTGAATGAGTGGAAGGTGAGCATGGAGAGTGAGCATGGAAGATGGAAAACAGGCAACTCCCTGGTCCGAGGGTCCTTTAGAAGCACGGAAGTTCCCTGCACTTGGGAGAGCACAAGTCCCTGCCCCTTGGCTGGGGCTCCCCACAGTGGGGCGTGGTGAGTCCTGGGCAAATCATAATAGGCTCGGGCCACTGAGCTACCAGCGCTGAAGTTCATTTCCACCCTGAGGAGGCGCCTGCACAGGCGGAAGCCACCATGGAGATGGCGGAGGAAGGCTATGCCCGCCGGCTGCGCCACCTGCTCGTGGCGCCTGTTCTGCGGGTGGTTTTACCGCTGTCTTTTCTCGGCCTGATAATCTTCTGCGTCCTATGCTGCTGGCTCCCGGCACAGCAGCAGATGCTCCAGCCACCTGAGGTAAATCGAGAATGAAAGAGATTCGCATCAGTCACTTTGGGGACCTCCGGGTGGCCCCCGGCTTGGCTTAGCGGGGTGTGGAGAAGAATCAGAGGCGGGGGGGTGGGGGGGGGACAAGCTGGAGAGCAGACTGACAGAAAGATTACCAACAACAAAAAGAAAGAGCCAGAATGATGGCTCAAATCAGCCAGGAAAAGAAATCTGGTTGGGAAGAGACAACAGGAGGTAGAGCCTGGAGCAGGGAGGTAAGGCCGACAGGGCTCCCGCTGGTCCTGCGGGAGGTAAATCCCGTGTGGGGATCCCACGGTGGTTGGCTGCAGCTGGGAAAGGTACATGGGACCTGTTGCAGACAGTGAATGACTGGCTTCGGTGTTCCCCCAGCAGGCTGACTCAGAGTCTGCTGGGGGCTTCACAAAGCTGGAAGGGATGGTTGTGGTGGGGGACAGGCATGGACAGGAGGAACCCCACCTGTTCACCTAAGAGCCCAGGATACCCGCCACAGGGATGGCCTCCGGGGCTGGGCAGGGGGCTCTGCAGTGGAGTGAGGTAGGTGCACATCCTACCCCCTCTCAGCGTTATGTCCAGGAAAGTCAAGTTCTTAAAGGCTTATTTATGATGCTCCAGGTTCATTCTAACCTACTTCCTCTTTACGAGGTTGTGTATGTGTGTGTGTTTTTATAAAATTCACAAGTCAGCCCCTTGAGATAAAGGGGGCAGAGCAGGGTGGGCAGTGCAAAGAGGGGCTCTGATTGCCCTGTTTTCTCTTTTCTTCCAGTGCGACGTAGCTGAGCTCCAGCGTGAACCACACAGGTGAAATGGGTAAACAGGGTAAAGTGTGAGTGTGTCTCTGTGTGAGTGCATATGTGTGAGTGCATGTGTGTGTGTGTGTGTGTGTGTGTGAGAGAGAGAGAGAGAGAGAGAGAGAGAGAGAGAGAGAGAGAAAAGAAAGAAAGAAAGAAAGAAAGAAAGAAAGAAAGAAAGAAAGAAAGAAAGAAAGAAAGAAAGATTCAAACCAGGAGAAAGGGAAAGAAAGAAAATAGGGGAGAGAGAAATAAGAAATAGAAAGGGAGAGGAAGAAAAAACGAGAACGACAACGAAAGGATGAAAGAGAAAGAGAGAGAGACGGGGCAGTGTGATCCTGGGTGTGTGCTGCCTTACTCTTTCCCTCTGTCCTTCACATTTTATCTTCTGCCGTGAGAGAGCCCAAAACAACTAAAACCCACTAATAGCCATTGCTAGCATTCCTCCCTTCGTCCCACAAACAGCTGAGCACCTGCTGTGAGCCAGGCACTGTTCTGGGTGCCACCATAAGGAAGAGAACAGACAAAAAAGCCCTGCCTTTTCTTCTACTCCGGAAAAGGATGTAGCGTGCCAAGGAAAGCACATGTAGGATGTTTCAAAGAAAAATCAAGTGAGGGGATCAGGAGATGAGCGAGGGAGTTGTTAGGAGGTTTCCTCACACCCTCTCTGTAACCCTCCTCCTGCCAGCCCCAGCATTTTGAGGGCTGTATTCATTTCATTTTGTGGTGCAGGAACCCCTGTTCCTTTTTGTTCAGGCCATTTGCTGTCCAAGCTATGATAAGAGCACACCACACACTTACATTTTATTAGCTGTGTCCTCCCTCACCTGGGACTCCGGGGTCTCTCTCTAGATCTCCGGGGACTCTAGATCTCTATCTAGATCGGATATCATTGACATGTAACATATTAGTTCTGGGTATACACCATAATAATGCAATATTTGTATATGTTGTGATATGATCACCACAATAAGTCTAGTTAACATCCATCACCTCACATAGTTACCAATTGTTTTTCTTGTGATGAGAACTGTTAAGATCTACTCTCTTAGCAATTTTTAAATAGACAATACAATATTATTATATAAAAACTAGAGGCCCGGTGCACAAATTCATGCACCAATGGGGTCCCTCAGCCTGGTCTGTGGGATCGGGCCAAAACTGGCTCTCTGGCATCACCTGAGGGGTCTTGGATTGTGAGAGGGTGCAGGCCAGGCTGAGGGACCCCACTGGTGCATGATCAGGTCCAGGGAGGGACACAGGAGATTGACCAATGAGGGAGGGACCGGATGACTGGACACTTAGCATCTTAGGCTTTTATTATATAGGATATGTACATAGTTGCCATGCTGTAATAAGATTCCCAGGACATTTTTTTAATATATATTTTATTGATTTTTTTTTTTTACAGAGAAGAAGGGAGAGGGATAGAGAGTTAGAAACATCGATGAGAGAGAAGCATTGATCAGCTGCCTCCTGCACACCCCCTACTGGGGATGTGCCCACAACCAAGGTACATGCCCTTGACTGGAATCGAACCTGGGCCCCTTCAGTCCCCAGGCCGATGCTCTATCCAGTGAGCCAAACCGGCTAGGGCCCCAGGACATTTTTATAATTGTAAGTTTGTACCTTTTAACTACCTTCCTTCATTTTGTACCCCCACCTCTGGTAACCACCAATTTATGAGTTCATTGGGTTTTTGTTTGTTTGTTTACTTTTAGATTCCATGTATAAGTGAGGTCATATGATACTTGTCTTTGTCTGGCTCATTTTACTTAGCATAATGCCTTCAAGGTCCATCCATGTTGTCTCAAATGACAGGATTTCCTTCTCTTTTATGGCATAATAATATTCATGTGTGTGTGTGTGTGTGTGTGTGTGTGTGTGTGTGTGTGTAAATATGTGTATATATGATGTTTTAATCTATTCATCCATCAATAAGGGCCCATTCAGGAAGGCTGTACCCTCATGACCTAATCACTCCCAAAGGCCCCACCTCCTAAAATCATAACCTTGAGGATTAGGTTTCAACATAAAAATTCTGCACATTCAGTTGACAGCCCTCAGTTTCCCTAAACTGCCGTCCTTCCACCCCCAACCCTCTGCCTCCAGGACTGCGGCAGGACCCCAGGCTGCACTGGCAGGGGGGCCCAGCACTGGGCCGCTCCTTCCTGCACGGACCACAGCTGGACAACGGGCAGCTGCGTGTCCAGCGCGATGGCATCTATAGGCTGCACATCCAGGTGACACTAACCAACTGCTCCTCCTCGGTGAAGAGCCTTGTGTCCCGCAGGGCCGTCCTGGCGGTGGGCATCTGCTCCCCAGCGGCGCGCAGCGTCAGCCTGCTTCGTCTCAACTTCCACCTAAGCTGCACTGTCTCCTCCCAGCGCCTGACGTACCTGGCCCACGGGGACACCCTCTGCACCAACCTTACTCTGCCTCTGCTGCCATCCCAAAATTCTGATGAGACTTTTTTTGGGGTTCAGTGGGTGCACCACTGAATGCTATACCTCCTCACTCAGATTTTTGGGAGAGATTATTTTACACACTATTAAATATGATTTATAATAAAATATATACTTCGTTGCATGGTCCTTTCTTTCCTTAGCATTAACTCTATACTGTAAAGCCTCTTCATTACACAAACAGGTGGTGCCCCATCCTTCTAGGGCAGCGGTTCTCAACCTTGGCTGCACATTAGAATCACCTGGGAATCTTTTTAAACTCCTGATTCTAATGTGCAGCCAAGGTTGAGAACCACTGTTCTAGGGGCAAGCCCAGACATGGTTTGGCTTTCTTTCTAAAGATGTCATCTTGACTTAAATATAGGCAGAAACTAACACAGGAAATATGCTGTCATATTTGGTTTCTTACTCAATGTCAGTGTTTATTCTATTGGTTTTTGGTCTAACGGTTTGCTTTTCATTGACTGTAGGTGGCAGTTGGGGTTTTTGTTTTGTTTTGTTTTGTTTTGTTTTGTTTTAAATAAACTATGAGTGAATGTCTTTCTTCCTGCTCTGCAAATTGAGATAGATGGCATTTTCACATTTCCCCCTTCATATCAAGAGCTTTCTTTGAAAACATTCCTGATCAGTGTCTGGTTATTTACTTACTTATTTTTTTTATCAACTGCTTTTCTTCCTTTCTGTGCCCCTCAGAGCCAGGAAGGACCTTTCCCAAGAATCATGCCCCACAAGGAGAGGGCAGGGGGTGATTGGCAACCATAGAGGCCACATTTGAGCAACAAGAAAGGTAGAAGAAGGAGCTCTTGGGCATTTTCTAGTTTAAGTTTGTATTTTGTCTAAGTGTAAGCATTGAAAGTCATCTTGAAGCACTGGGCTTTCATCACTCTATTTTTTAATTTTTATTTTTCAATCCTCACCCGAGGATACTTTTTCCATTTATTTGTTTGTTTGTTTATTTATTTATTTTTAGAGAGAGAGTGGAAGAGAGAGGGAAACACAGAAACAGCGAAGGGAGAGAAACACATTGATTGGTTGCCTCCTGCACACGCTCCAACCAGGGCCTGGGCTGGGGAGGAACCTGCAACTGAGGTACGTACGTACGTGCCCGTGACCAAAATCGAACCTGGGTCCCTTTGGTCCGCAGGCCAACACTCTTATCTACTGAGCCAAACTGCCTAGGGCTACTCTATTTTTGTATCATGTTTGCAGAGACTCAAAGGTAATAAGTAAAATTTTTAAATGATTATGCAAAATAAAATTAAAAGTAATATGCCCATCTGGTGTGGCTCAGGAGGTCCTGGTTCAATTCCATGTTGGGGCACATGCCCGTGTTGCAGGCTCGATCCTCAGTGGAGGCCATGCAGGATGCAGCTAATCAATGATTCTCTCTCATTGATGTTCCAATCTCTTCCTCCCTCTCCCTTCCTCTCTGAAATAAATTAAAAAATTATATTTAAAAAAATTAAAAGCAATATGACAAATCCAGTTTGTATGATGATTCATTCTAAACCAAGATCTGAAGATTGCCAACTCAGCAAATCAAAGGACTATGGAGAGTCAGGTGAAATTTGTTGTAACTGTCCACTGAAAAACAGAATCAACTAGGTATTCCGTCACCAAAAAGGATTCACTGGGATGGAGGGATTGTAGTCTAGTGTGTGGGCAGACATGGTGAGCCGCCTGCACACACTGAGCTGGACAAAGATGGAGAAGTACTTAAAGAAGGAAGTTCAGGTTACAGCCAGAGTTTTGTTGTGAGCACAGAGTTCTTCCTGAACAGTTCTCCCCATAACACAGTGTGCGAACTCCTCCCCTAAGCCCCAGCCCCTCCCACAGACCCTCCTGACTTACGATGTCCAGCTTCAAGTCTCTGTCATAATTTTTATCATAACCAATGGGCTTGTTAATTTTATGTAGTTGAGTTTCTACTTCCCCAGAGGACTTTATCTAAATGCAACAAATAGCCCAGCTGTCATGGCTCAGTGGTTGAGCATTGAACTATGAACTAGGAGGTCAGGGTTCAATTCCAGGTCAGGGCACATGCCTGGGTTGTGGACTCAATCCCCAATGTGGAGCATGCAGGAGGCAGCTGATCCATGATTCTCTCTCATCATTGATGTTTCTATCACTCTCTCCCTCTCCCTTCCTCTCTGAAATCAATAAAAGTATACTTTTAAAAATGCAACAAGTAGTGTTTGCATACACCTCCTTGTTCAGCAAGCAAATAAGAGCTATTCTGCTGTCTAGACACATTTTGGCTAAGTCAAGTGATCTTTATTGGGTAGCCATTGCATTGGCAGTGGAATCAGCAATGTCTCCCAATGTCAAAGAGAGGTTTCTGTGCATATGTTCTTTGCACAGGGGGAGAAAATGCCCTTTCAAGGAGATAGGAGATAGAATCATGTTTTTCCTGGAAGTTCTCTCTCTTTCATCAATGTTTCTAACCTCTCCCTTCCTTTCTCTCTAAAATCAATAAAAACGTATTAAACATTTTTATTGGTGAACATAGGACTGCCTCATCTATTTATATAAAAACCCTGGGTGTAATGTCACAACCGAGGCTCCACCAACCGGAAGGAAGTCAGTCCTGCAGAGGTCTTCTTGGAAATGGCTGCACGCTCCCCCGAGCTGTTTCCTGCGAGGGCAGCGAGGTTTGAGGCAGGAAACTGCCCTCGGAGCATGGCTGCACTGAGTCCTGGGTCCTCTTAGCAACAGCTGCGCCCTCCCTGAGCTGTTTCCAGTAAGCGATGTTTGAGGCAAGAACCAGCCCTCGGAGTGTGGCCACACTGAGTCCTGGGTCCTCTTAGCTACAGCTGCGCACTTCCCAAGCTGTTTCCCAGGAGGGCGAGGTTTGAGGCACGAACCGGCCCTCGGAGCAGGGAGGCATATCTTTATAAAGTTTTAATACATTATATTAGAGGTCATGGTAGTACTGTTTTACCCACAGCATCTACAGAAATTGCTGCAAATTTACTTCTCGGTGGAAGCACCTTTCATTCCCAATATAAATTACCCATTCCACTAAATGAAACTTCAATTTCTAGACTCGATATAAACAGTGAAGTTGCTAAAACTATTAAAAAGGCCCAACTTCTCATTATTGATGAATGCACCATGGAATCCAGTCATGCTATAAATGCCATAGATTACTAAGAGATATTTGAATGTTGTATTTGGTGGGAAAGTTCTCCTTCTTGGAGAGGATTTTCAACAATGTCTCAGTATTGTACCACATGCTATGGGATCGGCCATAGTACAAATGAGTTTAAAGTACTGCAACGTTTGGGGATGTTTCAGAAAGTTGTCTCTTACAACAAATATGATATCAGAGGATTCTGCTTATAGTGAATAGTTAATAAAACTTGCAGATGGCAAACTTGATAGCAGTTTCCATTTAGGAATGGATATTATTGAAATCCCTTGTGAAATGATTTGTAATGGATCTATTATTGAAGCTACCTTTGGAAATACTATATCTATAGATAATATTAAAAATATATATAAATGTGCAATTCTTTGTCCAAAAAATGAGCACATTCAAAAAGTAAATGAAGAAATTTTGGATATACTTGATGGGGATTTTCACACATATTTGAGTGATGATTCCATTGATTCCACAGATGCTGCTGAAAAGGAAAATTTTGCCATCGAATTTCTTAATAGTATTACTCCTTCGGGAATGCTGTGTCATAAATTAAAATTGAAAGTGGGTGCAATCATCATGCTATTGAGAAATCTCAATAGTAAATGTGGTCTTTGTAATGGTACCAAATTTATTATCAAAAGATTACAACCTAACATTATCGAAGCTGAAGTATTAACAGGATCTGCAGAGGGAGAGGTTGTTCTGATTCCAAGAATTGATTTGTCCTCATCTGACACTGGCCTCCCATTTAAATTGATTCGACGACGGTTTTCCGTGATGCCAGCATTTGTGATGACTATTAATAAATCACAAGGACAAACTCTAGACAGAGTAGGCATATTCCTACATGAACCCGTTTTCGCTCATGGTCAGTTATATGTTGCTTTCTCTCGAGTTCGAAGAGCGTGTGATGTTAAAGTTAAAGTTGTAAATACTTCATCACAAGGGAAATTAGTCAAGCACTCTAAAAGTGTTTTCACACTCTTAATGTGGTGTACAGGGAGATATTAGAATAAGTTGAATCACTTTATCAGTCACTGTTTGCATCACTGTTGTTTTTATATCATGTTTTTGTTGTTTTTATGTCATGTTTTTGTTGTTTTCATATCATGCTTTTGTTGTTTTTATATCATGCCTCTGTTGTTGTTATATCCTTTTGTTACTGTTTATTTACTAATAAATTTATATATTATTTTCATATACATTTTACTAATTTCCTTTCATCTCTCACACTTCTATTATATAGAAAGGACAAATAGCAATATTAAAATATTTCCGCTACTTAATTCCCTTTAATGTGCACAAATTTTGTGCACCGGGCTACTAGTAAGTATTAATATTCAGCCAAGGCTCAAACACTGTATTATTACATATCAAAAGACTACCCAGATACGTGGCTCTGACAGCAAACCTGCAAATGGTCTGATTTATGTTGGCTGCTCATCCAATATATATACTACAGGCCCGATGCATGAAGATTCATGAAAGAATGGGATTTCCTTCCCCTGGCTGCCAGCACCACCTTTGCTCTGGTTGGAGCCACCTTTCTGCTTTTGCTCCTACCCGGAGCCACCTTTCTGCCTTCCCACACTACCCAGAGGCCTGGAGTGGCTGGGATGGTGTGGAACACCTGCGTCGTCGCCATGGCGACAATGCAAGCGTTCTGCCCTGCCCCTGGCTGCTCGGCGCCTGTGTATGCAAATTAACCTACCATCTTTGTTGGGTTAATTTGCATACTCACTCCTGATTGGCTGGTGGGCATCATGAAGGTATGGTCAATTTGCATCTTTCTCTTTTATTAGTGTAGATGAGATGGGTTTTGATTTCCCACTCCAATGTTGGGTTAAATTGAAGCAAGAGACAGGGGTATGTGGATTTAGTTTTCTAAACT